TCCCTACACAGAGCCTAAAGATTAAATTGCTAGAATTAAGGACTTTTTTTCTTGCTTGCAAATGTTGCTGAATCTCTCTTTAGTTTTATGACTATTTTTGGTTTTTTTTAATAAACAATCATTTTATGTCAGTTAAAAAAAATACTAACTAAAGCCTTCGTAAACTAAATTTTATGCTGTGCTTAGAGCACAATTTATTATGGGAATTTAGGTCCTGCATTATTTCGTTTGAGTCTTCAGTTCCACTTTGTGTAGTTGAAAGGTTGTTTTTGCAATCACCTGTTTTATCTCTTAATCCCTGCCACTTTTTTGATAAATCCTCTCTGAATAATTTATGTATCTTGAGTCACTGATTTTTGTTATTTTTAACATGCAAGTTGTTTTGCTGTGCTGTCAGCACTCTGGTTTTCTGCTTGGGCCTAAACTGTCCATCAGTTTTATACTTCACAGAGCTGTCTGTTCATGCTCTTTGCTATGTTAAAGCAACTTGGGTTTACGTAGTACTACTTAGAGATATTTATGGCACACTAGATCTGTCTTTTTAGATTCGAATAATGTATTATCCAGCCTATTGCCAGTGGTAAAGCCTGGGTTGTGGGCTTTTTTAAGAGTTTTGATTATTATGTCACGCTTTCTTTGAGCAGTAACTATTGCACCTCCCAACACATGCATCATATAAGATGTCCTTTAGGTTTTTTCCTAGTAAGCTTTAAAATTCTTTTGAAAGATGCTGTTCTGACATCCCTGCTCAGGTCTGTTAAGCCTCAAGGTAAAAATCCCCAAGGCGTGTTTTACGAGACGGTGAGGCATGGTCTGTCAGGTTTTTGAGTTCTTGCCGCTTTGTCGTTCTCTCTGGGAGAGTAGTGCCCTTTCATCTCCAGAGGCTTTGACATCAGATAAATGAAAAGCAAATCTAATGAGTGAGAAAAACAGTGGAAAAACAATGAACTTCAGAAGTAGAGATAAATGGCCAGAAAGCCCCTCTGAATTACTGGCAGCATAAGCTTGTTCTGTGCCACGCTGTGCTTCTCTCCTTCTTTCTGGTTCACCCAAATGACTAACAGCATTGGGACGATAGCCAGCATGAGAATGTATCCCCATGCACTCATGATATCCTCCCATTTTTCTTCTGTAAGAGTAGAAAGAAAATAGATAGTTTCAAGTGTCTTTTCAGACTGTCAGAACTGAAGAAATTTGCTGTGCTATTCTTTTTTGTTGGTAAAACATGCTTCAAGGGAAAAATGATGCTTCGTTTTCCCCAACTCTCCAACCCCCAGCCCCAAAAACTGAGACTCGGTGTTCTGGATTCATCGGTTTTATAACAGTACTTTGCCACTTCAAGTTGCTTTTTTAATGTTTGGGTTTTCTATCCTTAGACTGAGAAACGGAGACAAGCATGATTGTATGCAAGGCAGTTGTGTGGGAAGTACTGTGCAGTAACACTGTTTCTGAAGAACAGAAACAGAGAAACTAGTAACACTGCGAAAGTAACTCAAATTTCCTTCAGCTGATGCGGTTCGTGTCCAAGTGCTTAATTGTAAGGTGCATCATCCCTGATTTATTTACATGTACAAATAAATGAGAAGAAGTTTCGTCTTCAGCTCTGTAGTTCAGGCAGGCTAGTGTTCTCACGCAGGAGGAAACCCCAACATTTATATGAGGTGCTCTGCCTCATGTGTTTGGAAGCTTCTCAAGTTCAAAGAAGTTGAAATATTCTTGCTAACGAAGAAACTACCATATAAAGCATTGTATGTCTAAAGGCACGCAAGTTTAGGAGGGAGATGTTACGGTGCTCTAACTCTGAGCTTCTAGTTGCTTGTTACGGGCTAGGTCACATGACACTTACAGATTCTTCTTTAGTCATGGTGGTGTATAGACACGCTTTTGTGAATTGTTATGAATAGTATTTAAGACTGTATTTTTGTCGTGGTTTAGCCCCAGCCAGCAACTAAGCACCACGCAGCCGCTCGATCACTCCCCCTACCCCGATGGGATGGGGGAGAGAATCGGAGGAGTAAGAGTGAGAAACACTCCTGGGTTGAGATAAGAACAGTTTCATAATTGAAATAAAGTAAAATAGTAATGCTAATAGTAACAGTATAATAATGATAATAATAATAATGATACACGAAGCAAGTGATGCACAATGCAATTGCTCACCACCCGCCAACCGATACCCAGACAGTTCCCGAGCAGCGATCGCTGCTCCCCGGCCAACCCCCCCCAGTTTATATACTGAGCATGACGTCATATGGTATGGAATAGCTCTTTGGTCAGTTTGGATCAACTCTTCTGGCTGTGCCCCCTCCCAGTTTCTTGTGCACCTGGCAGAGCATGGGAAGCTGAAAAAGTCCTTGACTAGCATAAGCAGTACTCAGCAACAACTAAAAACATCAGCATGTTATCAACATTCTTCTCCTACTAAATCCAAACCACAGCACTATGCCTGCTACTAGGAAGAAAATTAACTCTATCCCAGCCGAAACCAGGACAATTTTAAATATAGATGTTATTTAATAGCATTGGTTTTGAAACTGACATCTGTGTGAACTTATGTTCAGTGGTAGTTTTTTGCAGTCCTTCATGCTCCTGATGCATGCTGCTGGAAACTGAGGCTTCTGGTACTTACAAGTGTAATGAAAGCTTTAATTATGAATTTTAATGCAGAAGGAGATCCCTGCTAAAATATTTCATTGAAATTGCTCAATTCAGTTTTTAACGATGAAAAAAATTTTCATGCCTGTCTTTTGCATACTTCAAAAGAGCTAGGAGATGATGTTATTTTAACTTTTAAATAACAAGCTTAATCTTGAAAAGAGACTTTGCGAAGAATGCTTGCTCTGCAGTCTTTCTCCCCACAGAGTATTGGCAGTGTTGACTTTTTAGTGGTGTTCCAGAATGAGACAAATCCTAATGCATCAGTCCTGCGATAAATATATGTATGCTAGAGAAGTTTTGAATTCATGTTTGCAGAGGCTTGGGCTCAATTTAATTAAAAATGAGCATTGCTCCTGTACAATCTGATTCATTCTAACAGTGAACTCTGTCTTAGCCAAGACAGCTCTCGTGCTGTGCCCCAGTAAATTTTTGTAAGGGGTTTGTGAATAGGTGTTAGGATTGGTCTTCCTGTATGTGTGTGTCCTCAGGTGAACAGAACTGGTGTTTTCAGGACAGACTGGAATTACTGCACAAATACTGACCTAAATATCGAACTTGGTGACATACTTACTCCAAATAGGTCGCTTTTAGATATGCTGATTTAGCCTCAAACAGAATATTTTTAAAAGCTGGAAATGTGGCTTGTTCGTTAATATTGATAGTTCTATACCACAGTGCATTTCTTTCCTTCTACTTTCCAAATACTGGAGTCCTAATTAAGGAAGCTCAAAAGGAGAAACAACAACAACAAATTCGGTCCTTTGTGATTTAATATGTTCGGTCTGCTGCCAAGTGTTGAAAAATAAGCTTATGCAACTGGGAGGGGGAGCAGAGCGGGAAGAAAGGGACATCTTCATGGCTTTAAAGAATTTTGTCTGCATAGTTGGCATGATGGTTCTGGAACCCGCACAATTACTTGCAGAGCGATCGTGATCTGCCACTGTTTACTACTTGAATGTCAAATGCAGAAGGACGGGCAAAGAATGTGCAGTTAACAGTGAAGAGGACATGATGAGGGCTTTCCTCATTTGCCACTTCCAAAACCCAAAAAGCTACACCCTTAATGTAGCAGAAGAGACAGAGGTTTTATGTGTAAGGTGTTACTGAGTAGTGGAACTTGCTGTCCTGAGGCTTCTGTTTGGGGTGTGGTGATGAGCTCCTGCTGTTTGATGCTTCTAACAGCTGAACTGAGTTAAATGTTTTTCAACATGTGAAATTGCTGTGTAAGTGTTGACTACTACACAACTCACGACATGGATGGTTTGGCCAGAGTAAAAAGGGTTATCAGTCCTCCATGTTCCAAGGCATACAATTCAAATGGGGTGTCAACCTCTGCCTCGGAAATTCAGTATTGCAGAGCTTAAACAGGGACATAGTACAGAATTTTATCTTCTTGGAAATAGTGTGCATCACTGGGCATGCTGAGACAGGTTATCTGACCCCACAGAACTTCTCCCCTCTCAGCTTCAGGAGAGCAGGAAGTGTGTCGACAGCTTCGTGCGACAATTGTTTCCTGCTTTAATGCTCGGTTCAACGGGGCAGGTAGAGGAAGAGAGGTGATGGGAGGCAAGGGCTATAAATAATGCATGAGTGCCTCACGTAAGCTGCCTGTGCATGGCCACACTGTACATGTAGATGGGTAGAGATGTACAGGCACGCAGCTGTGTGTGTATGCACACCACCAACCTCTTCCCAGGGTGAGTTGCATAGCTGTGGCTGTAATGACAGTGTGTTTAGGGGGGCAATAAGCTGTTCTGTGGGGCTTAGGTGCCAGGGTGGATTTGCATCTATACACAAAAAAACTCTCCTGTTTAAAATACGAGGAATATCCAGAAAGGGATCCTTGATTTAAAAATTATCAAACTTAAAGAGTTTTGTCCTGTGTGTCTTTGTATTTTCCCTTCCCTGTTTTAGTCACCTTT